ATATTATTTCACTTTTTTAGAAAATTTTTCTTTGTTTATTTTTTATATATTTATATTCAATATAAGTTTTTTCGTTATTTATGTATGATTTATTGTTTGTTCGAACCTCTTTGTTTTTTATTTTTCATATATATAAATTCATAACAAGTTGTTTGTTTTATAGATATGATTTATTGTTTTTTACTATTTTTAAATTTGGTAAGCATAAGCAACGTTTGCGTTGAATTAGTAGCAGGTATAATGTAGGCCAGTGTTCTTTACCAGGTGTCACAGTGTAAGTGCCACATGAAGTTTTGTGGTTTTTTTCATTTTTTTAACACTTAAATAAGTGACAATTTTTAATGGAAATTATTTCAAATTTTGCGCAATTTTAAAATTAATTTTTAAATTATGTAAATATAAGTTATGAAATTATTCATTTTATACTTTATTTATGTTTCACATTCATTTATGTTTAATAGTGCAAACAGCGATTGCACGGATATTAAAATGGGAAAAAGTATCGAACTATGACTGACGATTCTTTTCTTAAAAATAATTATCTTCTTCAGTTAGATTAGCACTGTAATGGCTATTGCTTTTTCTCTAGACTTATTGATAGGAAAACAGTTATAGTGCTAGTATAGTTGAATTCAAGACTAGACAAGAAGCGTATTGCAGGAATGATTTTTTTATTAATTACATATTTTATTTAAAATGTTTGAGAGAAAAGATAAATATGATGTTCGAGATGATTCGACTACTGGAAAATCGAGTAAAACAACACGTCAATTTTATAACGTGTTACTCTCGTTTGTACCCAGACCGTGTAGTAATAGAACTTTGCCAAATTACAGCCAAACCATGCCTGCCTTATCCACCTCAATTACATCAATCTGCTCTTCACATCAAAAACAAAACTTTCTAACAACAGATACAAGAAGTATTATCTGGAATAACAACAAATAAAACTAACTGTGATACCTTATCAACTGTGGCCATCTTTTTTGTCTACTCGCATAGATCTAGTTTCTTAAAAGTTGACGAACGAAGTCAGACGAATGAAGTGCAGTAAAAGAAATTAATGCAGTTGAAATTATTGATACAATTATTGTAAAGTTAGTCTGACTTATAATTCCCGGGAAAAAATACCTTAATATGTAAACAGTGGAAAAGTCTACTCAATTCGAAATTTAATGAAAACAATTAAAAAGTTTAAAATGAAATTGAATTTGTAAAATTTAGTAAAATTCCGTATGTAATTTCATTGCCTTATAATATAATAATAGATATGCAATAGTATATAATTTACTGGGTTTTAGATGTGTTAAATACAGTTATGTAAATATTTAGCTTGGCTACTGTATTAAAAAATGTCATGTTTTATTCATAACAATTTACTCGATATCGTAACCAATCATTTCAACTAATTAATTTTTAAAACAAAATACGAATAACAGCAGTATACAATATTAGTTTTGAGCCGATGCTATGAAAATTTAGCTGGCAGCAATAGGCGCATTTTAGATTATTTATCTTATACTTAATGCTTACTCTGTGAAAGACCGAAAATTAAATCAATGCCTATAGCACTTTCTTTCCCTTTTGTTCATATTTGCATTGAAAAATACTCTTATCCAGCGGAAAAAGCAGGAAAAATTGGCAACTTGCACAGTTGTGTGCACTCTTGAATTATGTGTAGTAAATTCTTTTGATTTAATTTTCTTTAAAAATTTTTAATTTAACATATGAAAGTAAAAGAATCTTAATGATAATAAAGTTAGAAGAAATCGTTTTATTTCAACACAAGAAATGTTTACATTAGAATTTCAATAGGCAAAATTTCATCACATTTACCATGCAATCTTTTACATTAAAAACAAAATATAACATTACTTAATTTCAAAAAATATATATATTTATTTGATTTGAATAAGAAATATTCATATTTATTGTATAATAATTCGTGAGTGACATAATGAAATAAAAGACATAGGAAATATAAAATTGTTTCACTGTAACAATTTTTCATCCAAGTGTTTACGAGAACTCAACAAGTGATTTGATATAATACAGGGTTGGAAAGAAAATTACTTAACACCTCTGTTAAATAATATAGAATGTATCCAAGTAATGTACTGTACAGTAAATTGAGCACATCATGTAACGTGTGTAACTCTGCAGCCGTTCGAGATAGGTGAATAGAATTTTTTACTTATCAATCCTATGTGAAATTCTGACTTTATATGACGTGTCACATAACCTACATCCCATTTACAGTTGTGCAGTTGCATTCAGTATGAGTGTCACACTTCACTGTGTTTTCCTGGTGTCTAATGTGTTTCTAACGTAAGCGTATTAACTTTACATATATTGCATAAATCTGTAGCAAGGGAGTTAAGCGACTCTCTTTTCCACCATGTATTTCTATTTTGACTTTATGAACTCGTAGTAGGTAAAAAATTAACAAACCTCTGTTATAATTAAAATATATTTTTAATTGAAATAAGTGAGCCAAACAATTGTAACTGAACTCTCATTAGGAATTACAGTAAAAGATTATTGTTTCAATCCATAGTTAGAGAAACTAAGCCAGAAGTTAAATCTTTTTTATGTGGATCGATTGCAATTTGCGCTTCTAAAGAATTAAACTGATCTTCGGATATTAAATATTTAATATCACCACCAACTTTTCGTACACTGTGTAATACAACGGCTTTTTCATTTCTAGGAGAGAATTCTTCCNTTTATTAAGTCTCCTGTACACATACTTTTGTTCACAACTGTGTTTCGGGGCTTTTAACCAAGCCTTATCTCTCTGGCAGGAAGAGTGCGATAATGGTGCTACGAGTATTTCGAAAATCAGACTATGGGGCTTTTAACCAAGCCTTATCTCTCTGGCAGGAAGAGTGCGATAATGGTGCTACGAGAAGGACAACACACTAATTCATCCCCAATGTTAAATCTTTTTTATGTGGATCGATTGCAATTTGCGCTTCTAAAGAATTAAACTGATCTTCGGATATTAAATATTTAATATCACCACCAACTTTTCGTACACTGTGTAATACAACGGCTTTTTCATTTCTAGGAGAGAATTCTTTCTTTATTTCTGCTGTTAAATCTTCCTCTGCCCTTCTGAAAGTGTCAATATTTTTGTCGCTTATAATAGAATATTCTGCATTCCAATTGTGAATGATGCCATAAAAATATAAGCCGAGCTTATCCCAACTGTAACAATTTATTAAATTTCTTAAAAATTGCACAGGTTTTTGTATTATTATATATGTATCCGAACGACAAGAGGCTGTGTCGTTAGAATATCTTCTGTCTAGTAGTAAACGTATTTCAAGACGTTGCGAATATTTCAGATCGTTATCAAATTTAATCAATTCTTTCTTAATATCTTCGTAGTACTCAAAAATGTCTGGAATGACAAAATAAATTTGATTGACTCTAAGCATATTAGAGAACTTGAAAAATTCGTTTAAGCAATCGTAATAAAAAACTAATTTGGCTTTTTCAACAAATATTTCTTTGTTTCCTGCGTTTTTAACTTCATTGTAAAAATTCCTCCAAGTTACGGGATGAAACAGGTTTGTTTGCAGAAAGTCTACGATGCTCCCTGCAAACGGATCATTTCCAAACAAGCCAAAAATGAAAAACAAAATACCGTATACTTCAGGGATTGCAACAGCATTTATGAAATGAAATACGTATAAAGATATTACAAATTCCACAAACAATCTGTGAATAAATTCAAAATATTGATCATTATTTTCTTCTGAACGTTTTACGAATACGTCTAGTCCAACGATAAATTGGTATTCGTCTTCATTATGAAAAGTAATTCTCAAATCTTCGTTTGTTATTCTTCGTGCTTCCAAGCTGGTAGCCGTATTCGATTGCCGAAATTCTTTTTTGTAGTAAAGTGCTCCTAATTTAATAACAGAATCTTCTCCGTCAAAAAACTTTCCACTATTCAAATTTTTAACAGTGCCCTTCTTTTTCTTGTATCGTTCTATCAGAAGACGAAATATTAAGACAAACAGATCGGCTTTGGATTTTATATCGCGGTCGTATTTACTTTCGGGAAGACAGCATAACATATGCAGCATCAATGGGCATTTTGCTAATTCGGAGCAGAAGTTATCATTACGTATCAGACTAAATAGATACTCTCTTTTATCTTTGTTTCTTCCAACAATGAAATCAATGTATGTTTCTTTCTGTTCGGGAGAGAATCCTTCGATGCAATATCCATATTCAAATTCTTTTCTTATTTCATCAGTAACGTGTGGACGGCTAGTAACAACAATTGTCATTTTCTCAGAAAGTTCGAAAGAGTCGTTTGTTATGAATTCTTTAACACATTTGTTATGGCGAAATTCGTCAAATCCATCCAAAATAACCAAAAAATTCCATTTGGCTTCTCTTAGCTTGGTTTGAAAATTGTCGTCCTTATTCTTGTCGATGCATTCTAGTACGGCATCAATAAGATTTTTCTCTCGTAATTCACGTAATTCAATTACAACTAAAGCATCGAAATATCTTAAGTAACCTCGACGATCTTCATCGCTCCCCCAATCGTATGCGATTTTTTTACAAATGGTCGTTTTCCCATATCCCGGATCGCCTGTAATCAATACTGTTCGGTGCTTCTTGGGTCTATTGGTGAAAATCTCTTGTATTTGTATAATTTCACCCGTTTTTCGTCCTATCATATCTGTTTTTTGGAGTTTAACGTCAACAAAACATTCTTTAATTGGAAAGTCATTGTGTCCCTCCTTCCAGAGTGAGGAACTCATATATGCGTAAGTAGTCTTGTATCTGTTCATTAGCTTTTCTTGGCATATTTCTAACTTAACTGAAATGAAATTAATTCAAAAGATGCATTAGAGTTTAACAGTAGAAACAAATGCAGAGATAGAAAAAATATCACTTTTCATATATTTAATAAATTCTTCACTAATGTACAACTTATACGATAGGTTTGATACCACAAGAGTTAAATTCACGTTTATTCCAGTATGGGTGAAGCATGGCACTAACTAAAGAACAAAATCGTGTTACTTTGATGGAAGGTATATGACTTATTTACAGTAGCTTGTCAGCAACATTACACTAACTAGGGGCTCCTAAACAATATAACTTGGTTTCTTCTTTTAAACACAGCGGTACCTCAACTAAAACAGAATAAAGACAATCCTAACTCTTAATTATTTTTTCCTGTATATTTTTATTTTATTGATTCTTTTTCCTTTTTGTCTACGTTGGACTTGTCTTTTGCAGGTTTGCAGTAATACTCTGTAACAAACTTTTGATAAAAACATATTTTAAAAGTAACAAAATTATACCCTACATTGATATTTAAAACAAATTAAATTACTTACAGATACTTTATTGTCTATTTTAATAGATTAATATAAACATAAATCATCCATAAATTATAATTCAAGAAGAGAAATTTACCAATCATGTAATAGCATCGTTTATAGGCAAATTAACATGTAGAAAAGTATATAACTCTTTTGCAGCTAGACTTATGTACGAAATCTAGCTGCTTATTAACGAAAAATAGTTTATGTTTTAATAATGAAGTTACTGAAATTTTCAGTTCATAGGTTGAAACGAATTTATATAGTTTCCTTACGAAACGACTTCTTCCATTATGCAATGTATTATCAGTTGAAAGTAAACGTCTTAAAGAGACGTTAATTTATCATTCTATTTATCTTCATTTTTTTTAAAATTATTATCAAATTTATAAGGTAATTTATGAGTAATTATACAGGTTAGAGGTAAGGTTTAGTGTATATTAAATGTGTTATTTGTAAAACCTGTGTTACCCTGTTTTCAGAATCATTCGGAAGCATGTCGACTTACTCACACCTATCCACTCAATTTTTCAAGCCCTACTAGCTAGAAAACGAGAACGGGCTTTGCCAGCCCGTGCCGAGTAAGTGGTCATCAGGGATAGCCCCTTTGCCCCCTGACTATTTCACATTATTTTTATCATAACAAATAGAGAAATTTAAAAAAATAAATATGTTTATTTCTTTCCCGGCTGTTAAAGTGTAAAATATATTGTAAGTATTTTAATCGTTCATATTTTGACCTTCCTTAATTTTGCATTCCTGTATGTTTTACGATATTTCCATTTAACCGATCCCAATAACCTAGACTTACATTAAAAATATTTAAAAAATCTATTTATTTGTGTTGAACTATACTGTGCTTTAAATCTAAAGGCCTTATAAACTAAACATTTATAAATTTAGAAAAATTACTACTATTATGCCCAAATTACTACGACATGAACATATAAGTGAAAAAAGAAACAGGAATGAGCGTTCTCATTCGTTGTTAGCATTTATTTTTCTCGTATCTAAAAAATAAGTTTTTTGCAAAAGTTTGTTTTTTAACAAAATATCGCAACGAATGGATTCATACATAATTTTCTTTTTAAATTCGAGTGCGAAAAAAGTCTATCGGCAGCCCTTGTCAATTTGTTTTTATGTAGGGGAAAGTGGGGCAAGATGAGAACATTAAGGTTTGAAAACTCATAAGATGATAACCACTTTGATGAAAACGATAATTTTTATATTCTCAGCAACTACAGCATTTGATAATACATAATACAAAATTTAATTTTTGAGAAACGTTTATAAAAACAAGAAAATTTAATATTTTAAAATTACATATAAATGCACCATGGGGTAAGATGGGGATATTATTTTTTATACAAAAATAACAAATTCAAATGGTTAAACTGTCGTTTTCTTCAATATTGGTACAAGAACAGTGTGCCCATTTATCACAATGGCTACATTTATCATATGGCTACATCACAATGGCTACATTACAATAGCCCAACTCTCTGTAAATACATAGTATAACCCTCCAAAATAGAGGCATTCTGTGTCATTTGTGTTTTGTTTCTTGCTTGGCCTTCCCTTGCTGATGCCTGTAACTTTTGATTTTGCGGAATTTCTTTCGGTAAACAAAGACCGTTTTCCTGGAGGTGCCGAAACTGGTGTTGTTTGTTTTTATGCCCAAGGAACCTTTTCCTGATGTGTAGCAGCTTCCTAGAAAACCGTCAGGCAGGCATGTACACCACCACTTACCACCATGTTCACCACATAACAAAGGGTTGTCTTCAGGGTTACATTGCGGGTCCCGGTCTGTGTACAATCGTCCACAATGATTTCCTGACCTCCCTTAATGGTTTTAACGACACCCTCATACAGGGTTATGCAAGTGACACTGTTCAACACTGTTATCTTAGTATCAAACAAAAACAGTAATAATCTTCCACTCCTTGGTAATGATATTCTCAACAAAGTCTCAAACTGGAGCAAGCGTGTAAAGCTCTCGATAAACTATAGCAGATGTCTTTACATTATTTTCTCCAAAAACACTCCTGTACAAAAAGGCCCAATGATACTGATTAGTGAAAACCGCATACCAAAAGTGACTGAATTTACCTACCTTGGTGTTGTCCTTGAGCAACAACTCCAGTGGACTAGACATATTGAATCGGTTAGTGCAAAGGCTACTCGAGTTTCAAACGCTCTCTTGAGCATTGTTAAAACACCTGGGTGTTGGCTACAAGGCGGCTCGCCATATCTATTTGGCGAGCCGATCTTTTCATACACTTCCCCAATCTAGGCTTCAGAACAGAAAAAAGTGTATATACAGCGAAAACTCCTAAAAGCTCAACGGATCGCCACCCTGCGTATCTGTAGGGCCTAGCACAGCTCCAACTTTGGCCTTGCTGGTGATTGCTGGTTTCATGTCGGAGCACATTAAGGTGAGGATGGCTATGTGGCTGTGGCACACCCGCAAAGACTGAACAAGCTCCTGCAACAGCTGCAAAAACTTCCTTTCTATTCTTGACCAACAAACTAAAGAACACTTAAAGAACAGAAAGTAACGACAGAAAGTAAATCCTACGAACTTAGCAATAGTCAGGAGTACCCATGGCTCCAAGTCCGTTCCTCTCAAGTTGAGAATATTGACATTTCCATATACACCGACATCTCACTGCATAGCGATGGTGTTGGGGCGGCTTTTGTCCTTTACAATTACAGAAATAATCCTACTCATAGGTGTGCTTATAAGCTGGGGCCCCACTGCTCGGTTCCGTAGGCTGTGATCTTTGCAATCACTAAAGCCATGGAGCACGTGCACGAGGAATTGTTCCCTCAGCAGTTGAACATTTGTGTTTACACGGACAGTTTGACTGCCTTCCATTCCATCTATACTCCATTCAAAAAGGGCAAGAACGTCGTCAAAATTCAGTGTCTGCTTTCCATCAACACTCATCACCGCACTATTTACTTCAAATGGGTTCGTGACCATTCTGGTGTTTCTGGCAACGAGGTCGTTGTTCAGCTGGCAATGCACACCGCCAGCTCCACGTTAGGTTACGACTACAGTAAGATACCTATTTCGAAAATCAGACTATGGGCCTTTTAACCAGGCCATATCTCTCTGGCAGGAAGAGTGGGACAACAGTGCTACCAGAAGGACAACACACCAATTCATCCCCAATATTAGTGAAAGACTTACGTGGAAATTCTTCACTCCAAACTATCGTGTAAACCAATTAATCTGTGGGCACGGCAACTTCAACGTGTATCTGAAGAGCTTTCACCTGAAGACAATTGACTCCTGTTCGTGCAATAACACCTCTCCACAGGACACCAACAATCTTCTCTGAGACTGCAAGCTCTACGCGGAGCAGAGGATCACACTGATGGGCAACATCCTCAAATGTAACTATAGTTTGCCATGCCCTCACAACAAACTTTTGCAGGACCATGACATTTTCAATACAGTTAATACCTTCCTGAATACGATGGCAGCCCTCAACCCACCTTATGTCCAGCATCATTGACGATTGAGTTCCCCTTGTAATGATCTTCGTTTAACAGTAAGTTGTTCAACCTGTGTCAGTTGCTCTTCATCCGGTAGATTACTTTGTACGTAAAATCTGTCACTTGGTTACTGGTTGTATACTAAATAGCTATTCAGGTACTCCTACGTCGCATCTTTGTTGTGTAACTTGGGTAACTCCGCTCTTTTTGCTTTGTTTCCACGATTATTTTTCTGTCACGGATATCAGCAAAATTAATGTTCGGGATTCTCTGTTTGTATTATTATCGCGTAGATCTCATATACCGTTTTTTTTAGTATAATACCACACATTACTGTTTGTTCTGTTTATTATTTGTATCAACGTTCGGCATCAACTTGTACTTTACAGCAACTATCTGTTGTAATTCTGTTTTTCTCTGTCCATTTTTTTCTCTGCGTTTGCCACTGTGTTACAGTTTAATCATCCATATCTTGCTCCACACCTGCCCAGGCATAGGCTTCTTTCATTACTGTTAACGCACATACATGCTTGTTCTTGTATGTATTGTTTATCACTTATTGTCATACTATAGTTGCACTGTATATTCACTGTATAAGTGCTTTTTTTGTACCCGTGTAACCATTTACTGTACTTGTGTTACCAATTTATTTACATTTATTGTAACATTTTCTGTTTAATAAAGTCCCGGTGCGGTTGGTGACCTCCTCTACCCCTTCTCAATTCTCTTTCACATTTTCATTTCCTTTGGCTTCTACCGCAAATGGCTTTTCCTTCCATCTAACATTTTCTCACTTGTTTTCATCCCCTTTAAAGGAGATGCCGTTGAGTAATGCCTTCTAAACTTCCATATGTAAATATTGTTTGTTATTTTGTTCCATCAGCTACTGCTTGTACAGTATATCTGTTAGGATTGCTGTTTTTCCTCTTCTTCTGCTATTTTCGAATTTTTTCTTGGTTTAAACATGTAAAATTGACATTATTTCCATGGAAGAGACTTGAGTAAAAACTGAATGAGTGGGCATACTTGTAATGGTGTAATCAGTGACCGTTTCTGCACTCAGGTTAGGCATACCTCCACTTTTATGGTTTTGGTTGTCCCAAAACGAGTGTCCTGGTGTGTCCTGCAGCTGAAGGGGCCTATTTGTCGTCTCTGCAGCAATGAAGACTGCCTCAGAAAATACTTTTGGATTCATTGGCCGTATTTACGGTCAACCTGGAACAAGACAGCGTTCCCCATTTTTCCCAACGTGCACTTTTCATACTGACTGCAAACATACGTCAACTTATTTCAAAACTAAACAATTACAATTCTAAAGGTTACTTCGAATACCATAATATCGTCATCTAAACTGGTGTTAAGTATTAACGTGAAATTGAGCAAAAGTTCGTAAAGAAAACAGACTTTTTTTATTAAGTCTCCTGTACACATACTTTTGTTCACAACTGTGTTTCGGGGCTTTTAACCAAGCCTTATCTCTCTGGCAGGAAGAGTGCGATAATGGTGCTACGAGAAGGACAACACACTAATTCATCCCCAATATTAAATATAATATAAAAGTTAATATAAAAGTTATAAAGTAAGGTAATATAAAAGTTCACAATAATACTATCTTTGTAGAAACTTTGCAGGAGGCATAAAATTAGATGAAATATTGATCAAACATGGAAAACGTTCTTAATTCCAAACAAAGAGAGCGATTCGGACGTTCTCTCATCCCATGATCCCTTTTGAAGTTGACATTTAGATCCCAAATAACAGATAGATGAAAGCACGTTAACCATGAATAAACAGACGTCACTCTCTTACCCCATGGCCCCATCTTGCCCATGTTCCCCTAATTTAAACGTTAGTAACATCTGGGAAAACATAAATTATCTACGTTTTTACTTTTGTTGAAGTAAGAAAAAGAAGAGTTTACGAAGTTCCTTATCTCTTCATGTTTAAACTTCAATGTTTCTAAGTGTTTCAAGAAACATGTTAATTTAATAGGAAATTCTAAACATACACATTGTCTTTTTATGTTTTACTCACAATAATATACATTATTTTATAAAGTATTGTATAACATAATCAATATAATACACAATTATTACCTTTTTCGGTGTTATCAACAATTACAGTTTTACTCGTATCTCCCATTTTTATATCACTACACTCTTGCATTGTGATATTGAAGGTAGACATGACGATAATACTCGTTTTAAAACAGGTTCTAATCTGAAATAATACAAAAAATAATAAATTCTGAATAAATTTGTTCATATTGTAGTGAAATGCACACAGTAGAATTTAACAGAAAAATTTAATAATTCTCCTTAAGTATTGAAAATAAGCAGTCGCGTATTGCAACATGGAGTCACCGAGTTAGTAATATTAGAGAGGTTGAGGCGCACGTTTTAAACGTGTAAACGTGTACGTGTGACGTTCGGCGCCGCTTTCCCGTAAGCCTAAAAGTTTGACGATGGTGTTTGGAATGTCGAGCGTGATTCTACCGACTATCCAAACACCATTGTCAAACTTTTAGGCTGACGGGAAAGCGGCGCCGAACGTCACACGTACACGTTTACACGTTTAAAACGTGCGCCTCAACCTCTCTATTTTCTTCCACGCATTCTGTAGCAGAGCGTATTAACTTAATCTATGTCTGTGTTAACAGTGTTGGATGAGAAAGTGTCTGTAGTATAATTATTGATAGTATATTTGTTCAACTGTTTTCTGTGTTTAAAATTACGTCATTTTAACTTCGATAGAACCGGAAATTCTTATGTTCAAAGTTATGTTACTACACTGGAAGGGTTTCAACTCATAGCAGCTAAGATGNATAGTCTTTGTTAGGCTTAACATCGACGAAAATTCAACGCGACACACAACAGAGAAAAATGTCAAGATGGAATAAATTAATATATTTTTTCGTACATAGTCGGTTATCCGAAACATCGATCTTTCGAACAACCCCAGTCCCCAATTGATTCGAATAATCGACGCTCTGCTGTATTAGAATGCCTTTCTAGGGTTCCAGATTTTAGTCCAACAAAAAGTTTATGGAGTATAATAACAAAAATAGTTTATGGTGTAATCGAGCATTGTTGAGCTATAAATTTCCACAGTGGGAAATGTTAAAAATTTTTATAATTTCTAGCATCTTTTTTTTCCTCCTGATCTTCTTACAGCAATTAATTATCATTTGTATTTAGTCCATCTTATGATAAATGTATGGGTGAAGCATGGCACTAACTAAAGAACAAAATCGTGTTACTTTGATGGAAGGTATATGACTTATTTACAGTAGCTTGTCAGCATCTTTACACTAACTTCTCGATGCCATATCAGATTTCTGACGTCAGCGACACCCGGCGCAGATTAGGAAGTAGTTAATAATACGCCAAAGTGTTACTAGGAGAGGTTAGTACCCAGAGTGGTTTCTCGTTGCCTTCTCTGGGGCGCGATGTTATGTGAGGGGAAAGAATGCCTTCCGGGAGGACTTTTATGGGGAACTGGTCTCCTATCTAGTCGTTATCGGCAAGGAGAAAACCCGAAAAACTTCAAGCAGTAGTCAGACTGTTCGATCGCGGCGCGAACCCACTACCGAACTTCCAGTGTTTAGGGTACAAAGACCGCTCGGCCACTGGTGGGCTTACACTAACTAGGGGCTCCTAAACAATATAACTTGGTTTCTTCTTTTAAACACAGCGGTACCTCAACTAAAACAGAATAAAGACAATCCTAACTCTNGTGAAAATCTCTTGTATTTGTATAATTTCACCCGTTTTTCGTCCTATCATATCTGTTTTTTGAAGTTTAACGTCAACAAAACATTCTTTAATTGGAAAGTCATTGTGTCCTTCCTTCCAGAGTGAGGAACTCATATATGCGTAAGTAGTCTTGTATCTGTTCATTAGCTTATCTTGGCATATCTTTAACTTAACTGAAATGAAATTAATTCAAAAGATGCATTAGAGTTTAACAGTAGAAACAAATGCAGAGATAGAAAAAATATCACTTTTCATATATTTAATAAATTCTTCACTAATGTACAACTTATACGATAGGTTTGATACCACAAGAGTTAAATTCACGTTTATTCCAGTATGGGTGAAGCATGGCACTAACTAAAGAACAAAATCGTGTTACTTTGATGGAAGGTATATGACTTATTTACAGTAGCTTGTCAGCAACATTACACTAACTAGGGGCTCCTAAACAATATAACTTGGTTTCTTCTTTTAAACACAGTGGTACCTCAACTGAAACAGAATAAAGACAATCCTAACTCTTAATTATTTTTTCCTGTATATTTTTATTTTATTGATTTTTTTCTTCTTTGTCTACGTTGAACTTGTTTTTAGCAGGTTCACAGTAATATTCTATAACAAACTTTTGGTAAAAACATATTTTAAAGGTAACAAAATTATATCTTACATTGATATTTAAAACGAATTATATTACTTACAGATATTTATTGTCTATTTTTAATAGATCAATGCAAACATAAATTATTCATAAATAATTATTCAGGAACAGAAATTTACCAATCGTTTATAAGCAAATTAACATGTAGAAAGGTATTTAAAGAGAATGTAACAGAGAAAAAGTGTATTGATAAAGATAATAAGTCAAATAAGATAAAATAAAGATGCTGGATAAAGGAGTAAAATCATTTTAACAATTATTTTAAGAAAACCTATAAATTTTACACGTTTTATCCTGTTTATGCAGGCAAGTTTCTTTGGAAGATAACATTAGGTTAATAACCCCTTTTTGAATGCTGTATGTTCATGTTGATATATTAATAATAGACGATAAAAAGCTATAAGTAATTTAATACGTTTTAAATATTATTGTTGGGTATAATTTTTTTATTTTTAAAATAATTTTTTTCAAAAATTTGTGAAAAAATATTACTGTTTGCTAAAGAGCAGTGTTGCCGTTCCTAGTACATTTGTACTTTTCTGGTACATTTTGCCCTTTCCAGTAAATTGAAAGTACATTTAGATTTTTAGTACATTTTCAGTACATTATAATATTTCAAGTACCATTTACGGTACAAAATAATATTTCACGCCTTAACGAAAAAATGAGAAAAATTAGTTTAATAAAGTCTCACTAGTGTCACTGCTTGCTAATTTAAATTATCCAATCACAACATACAAATGGTGTGTGTCCGTCGACGTCAGCAACATAGATAGTTGCACGTGTAAACGGTCTTGACTCAGTGGTCTTCTTTCACACGTTCAGTTGTCTGCACATTCTCATCAGGACCTTGACAAAATTTTTCATGCCACGTGGTCCAAACAATTCAACTCCGTCAAACAAAAATAATGGACAGGTAAGGAAATCAATGATTTTAAACTTTTGTCGTCAATAATATCAAAATATCCGTTAAGTCAGAATCAAATTATTACAGAAAATAGTTTTGAAATTGTACGAGTATAAATAATATAAATACTTTTATATTATTTTTCTACCATTATAATTTAATTCTTAAATTATGAACTTCAATTTTAGTAATCGTAGTAAAAGAAATAAGGGTTAATGTTACGTATGGTTCCAAAATGGCCGCGCTTCCGACTGTTCCAAGGTCTATATAAGAAGGTCAGGACACGCGTGATCTACTTCTTGAGCTGCCATTTTGGGGTTTTTTGAGTTGCATGTTTTAAGCAAACTTGTACGAGCAGTCAGTTTTATATGACATTAATTAAACTAAAATTGCATAAATCCTGTAATTTCCAGTCAAAAATATAATAATAATTTCGGATGATTATGCAACCCCAATTTTATGTAACGTTTTCATCAAATAGTTTAAAAGAAACAAGCATCCTTATCTTTTGCTGTCATGATTGAAATTAATTAAATAGGTACTAAAACTGATGCAATTACGTATATACCACTTCGTAAAGTGATGCAATAACATCAAAAAAATTTAAAGTATAATAAAGAATAAAATAATATAATATAACAAATTTATAATTATTTTTTTAAAGCACGATTGGTTATAAAATTAACATGAAATTCAATAGTATTATTAATAAATGTTGTCAATGTAATGCTCATTTTATAATAAGTAATAGATGTGTAGATATATTTTTAATTTTAAATAGCTTTCAAAAAATTCCAAAAATAAGATTTAAAATTAAATTATTTGACAATAAACTATAAATTACGTGCCTATATATATATATAGGCACGTAAACAAAATATTCCTAGAACTAGTACATTTTGAAAGAAAATAGTACATTTTTTAAGGCGCTTCAGTACGTTTTCAAATTTAATTGCGGCAACACTGCTAAAGAGGAGCCGTCATGTACGAAACACAAAAACAGATTGTACAGGTGACAATAAAAAGATTTTGTTATGATTTTTTCGGACGATCTCCTCTATTTGCTAAACAAATTCCAACGTAGACAAAGATATAAAAAGGAAATCATCATAACCCTTTCGCAGCTAGACTTATGTACAAAATCTTGCTGCTTATTAACGAAAAATAGTTTATGTTTTAATAATGAAGTTACTGAAATTTTCAGTTCATAAGTTGAAACGAATTTATATAGTTTCTTTACGAAACGACTTCCTCCATTATTCAATGTATTAGCAGTTGAACGTGAACGTCTTAAAGCCACGTTAATTTATTATTCCATTTATCTTCATTTTCTTTCAAAATATGGCATCAAAATGATTCCATATATAAAAAAAAACGTTCGATTTCTGAAAATTATCATAAACAACATTCGGGTACAAATTGAACTTAGAACGGGTTACATTACACACAGCATTACTCGGCTCTCGTGTGGACATGAACGGCTGACATCAACAGTGGACACCGGACCCGTCCGCCACCCTTGAATTCCTGCCATAATCGCCATCTCTCATAAAGGAAGACTACTGGTCGACTCCGCTGATCCAAGAGCGTTTTCCCGACGTCCTATACAAGTAGATTGGGAACCGTCGGTCCATAAGGTATATTATTTGTAGAATTGTAAACGCTCTCTCTCGGTTCTTTAGTTAAAGTGTAAAAGATATTGTAAATAATCTAATCGTTCATATTTTGACCTTCCTTAATTTTGCATTCCTGTATGTTTTACGATATTCCCATTCAACCGATCCCAACAACTAGATTTACATTAATAATAAAAAATTATTTATTAGTGTTGGCCTGTATTATGCTTTATATCTTAAGGCCTCATAGACCAAATATATTTACCGTTACCGTTATGTGCCGTTACACAGTGAAGATTGTAGCAGGAATACTGCTACAATTTTCACTGTGTAACAGCATCAACATATAAGACAAGAAAGAGACAGGAGTAATGGGTTCTCACTCCGTGTTAGCATTTACCTTTCTCCTATCGCAAAAAATACGTTTGTTGCAAAAGTGACATAATTAACATAATATCACAACGAGTGGACTCATACATAATTTTTTTCTTGAATTCCGAGTGCGGGAAAAGTCTATCAGCAGCCTTTGTCAGTTTGTTTTTATGTAGAGCAAAGTGGGGCAAGATGACAACATTAAGGTTTGAAAACTCATAAGATGACAACCACTTTGATGAGAACGATAGTTTTTATATTGTCAGCAACTACCGCATTTGATAATATATAATACAAAATTTACTTAATGAAAAACGTTTTTAAAAACAAGAAAATTTAATATTCTAAAAGTACATCTAAATTCACCATCTTACTCCAGCCATGGGGTAAGATGCGGATATTATTTTTCTGTACAAAAAAAAACAAATTCAGATGGTTAAACTGTCGTTTTCTTCAATATTGGCACAAAAACAGTGTGCCCATTTATAACAATGGCTACATTTAGCCCCACTCTCGGTAAATATAGAGTATAACCCTTCACAATATAGGCATTCTGTGTCATTTGTCTTTTGTTTCTTGTTTGGCCTACCCTTGCTGATGCCTGTAACTTTTGATTTTGCGGAATTTCTTTCGGTAAACAAAGACCGTTTTCCTGGATGTGCCGAAACTGCTGTTATTTGTTTTTATGCCCAAGGAACCTTTTTCTGGTCTGTAGCAGCTTCCTAGAAGACCGTCAGGCAGGCACGTACACCACCACTTACTACCATGTTCACCACGTCACAAAGGGTTGTCCGCAGGGCTACATTACGTGTCCCGGCCTGTGGACAATCGTCCACAAAGATTTGCTGATCTCCCTTAATAATTCTAACGAAACTCTCATACAGTGTTATGCGGGTGACACTGTTCGACACTGTTATCTTAGTGTAAAACAAAAACAGTAATAATCTCCCACTCCTTGGTAATGATATTCTCAACAAAGTCTCGAACTGGGGCAAGCGTGTAAAGCTCTCGATAAACTATAGCAAATGTTCTTACATTATTTTCTCCAAACACACTCCTTTACAAAAAAGCCCAAGGATACTCATTGATGGAAACCGCATACCAAAAGTGACTGAATTTACCTATTTTGGTGTTGTCCTTGAGCAACAACTCCAGTGGACTAGACATATTGAATCGGTTAGTGCAAAGGCTGCTCGGGTCTCAAATGCTCTCTTGAGCATTGCTAAAAACACTTGGGGTGTTAGCTACAAGGCGGCTCGCCATATCTATCTTGGCGCTAACGAGCCGATCCCTTTATACACTTCCCCAATCTGGGCTTCAGCAAAGAAATAAGTGTATATTCGGCGAAAACTTCTAAAAACTCAACGGATCGCCATCCTGCGTATCTGTAGGGCCTAGCACGGCTCCAACTTTGGCTTTGCTGGTAATTGTTGGTCTCATGCCGACGCACATTAACGTGAGGGTGGCTGCGTGGCTGTGGCACACCTGCAACGATTCAACAAACTCCTGCAATAGCTGCAAAGACTTCCTTTTCATTCTTGACCAACAAACTAAATAATACCTAAAGCGCTACATGACAGAAATCCTATGAACTCAGCAATAGTCAGGACTACCCATGGCTCCAGGACCGTTCCTCTCACGTTGAGAATATTGACATTTCCATTTACACCGACGGCTCACTGCATAGCGTGGTGTTGGGGGCAGCCTTCGTCCTTTACAATCACAAAAATAATTCTACTCATAGGTCTGCTTATAAGCTGGAGCCCCACTGCTCGGTTCCTTAGGCTGAGATCCTTGCAATCACTTAAGCCATGGAGCACGTGCACAAGGAATTGTTTCCTCAGGCAGCTAAATATTTGTGTTTACACAGACAGTTTGACTGCCCTCCATTCTATCTATACCCCATTCAAAAAGGGCGCGACTTTCGTCAAAATTCAGCGTCTGCTTTTCATCAACACCCATCACCGCACTATTTACTTCAAATGGGTTCGTGACGATTCCGGTGTTTCTGGCAACGAGGTCGTTGATCAGCTGGCAAAGCAGACCGCCAGCTCCACGTTAGGTTACGACTACAGTAAGATACCTATTTCGAAAATCAGGCTCTGGGCCTGTTAACCAGGCCTTAACTCTCTGGCAGGAAGAGTGGGACAACAGTGCTACCAGAAGGACAACACACCAATTCATCCCCAATATTAGTGAAAATCTTACGTGGAAATTCTTCACTCCAAACTATCGTGTAAACCAATTAATCATTGGGCACGGTAATTTCAACGTGTATCTCAAGAGCTTTCACCTGAAGACAATTGACTCCTGTCTGTGCAACAACACCTCTCCACAGGTCACCAACAATCTTCTCTGGGACTGCAAGCTCTAGGCGCAGTCCCACACTGGATCACACTGATGGGCCACATCCTCAAATGTAACTATAGTTGGCCATGCCCCCATAACAAACTTTTGCAGGACCATGACATTCTCAATTCAGTTAATACCTTCCTGAATACGACAGCAGCCCTCAACCCACTCCATGTCCAGCATCAAACAAATGACGATTGAGTTCCCCTTCTAATGATCTTCGTTTAACAGTAAGTTGTCGCTCTTCATCCGGTAGATTACTTTGTACGTAAAATCTGTCGCTTGGTTACTGGTTGTATACTGAATAGCTATTCAGGTACTCCTCCGTCACATCTTTGTTCTGTACCTTGGGTAACTCCGCTCTTTTTGCTTTGTTCCCACGACTATTTTTCTGTCACGGATATCAGCAAAATTGATGTTCGGGATTCTCTGTTTGTATTATTATCGCGTTGATCTCATATACCGTTTCCTTTAGTATAATACCGCACATTACTGTTTGTTTTGTTTATTATTCGTATCAACGTTTGGCATCCACTTGTACTTTACAGCAACTATCTGTTATAATTCTGTTTTTCTCTGTCCATTTTTCCTGTTCGTTTGTCACTTTGTGTTACTGTTTAATCGTCCATATCTTGCCCCACACCTGCCCAGGCACGGGCTTCGTTCATTACTGTTAACGCACATACCTGCTTGTTCTTGTATGTACTGTTTATCACTTATTGTCATACTACAGTTGCACTGTATATTAACTGTATAGCTGCTTTTTTTGTACCCGTGTAACCATTTACTGTACTTGTGTTACCAATTTATTTACATTTATTGTAACATTTTCTGTTTAATAAAGTTTCGTTGCGGTTGGTGACTTCTTCTTCCTCTTCTCACTTCTCTTTCACATTTTCATCCCCTTTGGCCTCTACCGCAAATAGATTTTTCTTCCTTCTAACACTTTCTCACTTGTTTTCATCCCCTTTAAAGGAAATGCCATTGAGTAATGCCTTCTAAACTTCCATATGTAAATATTGTTTGTTTTTGTTGTTTCATCAGCTACTGCTTGTACAGTATATCTGTTAGGATTGCCGTTTTCCCTCTCCTTCTGCTATTTTCAAATTTTTTCTTGGTTTAAACATGAAAAATTTGCATTATTTCCATGGAAGAGACTTGAATAAAAACTGAATGAGTGGGCATACTTGTAATGGTGTAATCAGTGACCGTTTCTGCACTCAGATTAGGCATATTTCCACTTTTATGGTTTTGGTTGTCCCAAAACGAGCGTCCTGGTTTGTCCTGCAGCTGAAGGGGCCTATTTGTCGTCTCTGCAGCAATGAAGTCTGCCTCAGAAAATACTTTTGAATTCATTGGCCGTATTTACGGTCAACCTGGAACAAGACAGCGTTTCCCATTTTCCCCAACGCGCACTTTCCATACTGACTGCAAACATAGGGCAACTTTATTTCAAAACTAAACAATTACAGTCTTAAAGGTTATTTCGAATACCATAATATCTTCATCTAAAAGGTAATATAAAAGTTCACAAAGATACTTTCTTTGTAGAAACTTTGCAGGAGGCATAAAATTAGATAAAGTATTGATAAAACATGGAAAACGTTCTTAATTCCAAACAAAGAGAGCGATTCGGACGTTCTCTCAACCCATGATCCCTTTTGAGGTTGACATTTAGTTCCCCAAATAACAACTTGATGAAAGCACGTTAACCATGAATAAACAGACGTCACTCTCTTACCCCATGGCCCCATCTTGCCCCATCTTCCCCTAATTTAAACGTTAGTAAAATCTGGGAAAACATAAATTATCTACGTTTTTACTTTTGTTGAAGTAAGAAAAAGAAGAGTTTACGAAGTTCCTTATCTCGTCATGTTTAAACTTAAATGTTTCTAAGTGTTTCAAGAAACATGTTAATTTAATAGGAAATTCTAAACATACACATTGTCTTTTTATGTTTTACTCACAATAATATACATTATTTTATAAAGTATTGTATAACATAATCAATATAATACACAATTATTACCTTTTTCGGTGTTATCAACAATTACAGTTTTACTCGTATCTCCCATTTTTATATCACTACACTCTTGCATTGTGATATTGAAGGTAGACATGACGATAATACTCGTTTTAAAACAGGTTCTAATCTGAAATAATACAAAAAATAATAAATTCTGAATAAATTTGTTCATATTGTAGTGAAATGCACACAATAGAATTTAACAGAAAAATTTAATAATTCTCCTTAAGTATAGAAAATAAGCAGTCGCGTATTGAAACATGGAGTCACCGAGTTAATGATATTTTCTTCCACGCATTCTGTAGTAGAGCGTATTAACTTAATCTATGTCTGTGTTAACAGTGGTGGATGAGAAAGTGTCTGTAGTATAATTAATGATAGTATATTTGTTTAACTGTTTTCTGTGTTTAAAATTACGTCATTTTAACTTCGATAGAACCGGAAATTCTTATGTTCAAAGTTATGTTACTACACTGGAAGGGTTTCAACTCATAGCAGCTAAGATGGTGTCGGCTTTACGGTGTGTCACGTTATTGTGATATTTAATCCATATTTAATATATAAAGTTAAAAAGTGCTTGTGAAATGTTTATTTATAAAAAATAATTTAATTGCATTTGAATTTCTAATTGGTGGAATTGAATAATTCCACTAGATAATTAATAAAAACATAAGTACAGTAGAGCGTCGATTATCCGAAAGTCAATCATCCGAAAGAATTCCAGTCGGCAAATTTAAATTTTCGCCAGTGCTGTGGCGCTGCAATCTTTGCTTATATCTTGGGCTACTCAAATATTTTACGTTTTTGATACTAAATTAACTTGTGAAGTATAATTTTTTATTGTTTTTATATTTTTCAATATATTTATTTTGTTTGTACAAAATAAAAAAATAATTTTTAACGATACAATAGTCTTCTTTAGGCTTAACATCGACGAAAATTCAACGCGACACGCAACGGAGGAAAATGTCAAAATGAAATAAATTAATATATTTTTTCGTACATAGTCGGTTATCCGAAACATCGATCTTTCGAACAACCCCAGTCCCCAATTGATTCGAATAATCGACGCTCTGCTGTATTAGAATGCCTTTCTAGGGTTCCAGATTTTAGTCCAACAAAAAGTTTATGGAGTATAATAACAAAAATAGTTTATGGTGTAATCGAGCATTGTTGAGCTATAATTTTCCACAGTTAAAAATGTTAAAAATTTTTATAAATAATGAAGTAACATTAACTTATATGTTGTTTTACATATAAATAAAAAATAAATTCATATTAGTATATCAGCGTGTTTTTAGTATGTAATTTTTTTATAAATGGTAACCAATGAGAACTGTTAAATTAACTGCTACATTGCACAGTTTTAAAAAGAAATCTCTACTAAGTAAAAGTTTTCATCTTTCATATGGATTTTTCCATTAATTTTTCAACGTTTTAAATATTCTATCTAACATATTTAAAGATAAATAAATTAATTACATTGTCTTTGTAAGTGATGTTCTAATATCGACAATAACAAAGATACAATTTGTCATCTGCAAACAAATTAAAATGTTGTGAGATAACGATGCAATTTGCTCGAATGAAGTTTATAATGGTTATGCACTGGTTTACGAATATTGCTAGATTAAAAATACATGATAAAATAATAAACAGTCCATACATAAAAGTTTACATCTCCGATATATACTTCGAATATATCACCGAAGCCCTAAAATTAATTTGTGTTCTATTTGATAAGGAGCAAAAAAGCGATGTCCAAAAGACAACTGTTGTACAGCACATTGCATATTATTAAGACGTCTAACCTGTAATTGCATAAGTTTCTATATTATAGTCGTATAATACAGTTGACCTACAATAACATCTAACTCTAAATTTCCACCAATTTTCCAGGAAAGTTACTTTCTGAAGTAGATACAAACTAACCTGCAAACAGCCGTCATTTTTTATGTTGTCTGCACTGGACGTTGTTCACGGATTTCAGTGTATCTTAACTAAATATCAGATTAATATTTTAGAAAAAATTTTAAATGGTATTTAATATCATTGACTATTCCAGTGGTTCTCAACCGGGGGTACGAGCGTAAATCAAAGGGGTACATCTAACTTTCATTATAAAATGGCGTATGTTAATCAATTCGCTGTAAATTATTAACACAAGAAACAAGAAACGACAAAAACTTGCTGTAAAATATCCCAGTGTAAACACCGATTTCCCTTTTAACAGTCTAAACAACTTGTTTACCCACTTCATTTGCCTGTCTATTTGTGCCATTAGTGCCGAGTGAACCTGTACTCTAGTAAAATTACGGTTTAACCGAGCATTAATTGTTGAAACAATAATGACTTTTTTTTCTATAACTAGCTGCAAGGACCCGCTTCGCTGGGCAAAAAGTAACGATAGTGAAAATTAAAATAATTACATTATAGCCAATCTTACCCGTTTTCACAGAATGCAAGAATTAGGTCTACCGTTTCCAGACTAATTAGAGAATTTTTACATGAGTCTAAAAATATGTTCGATTTCCCGCAAAAAACGCAAAAAACCGCCTGTAAATCTTGAATGCCGCTTTATATTAACACTTCCTTTGTTACTCAACACTTCCATTGTTACTCAACACTTCCATTGTTAACATTTCCATTCTTAACACTTCCACTGTTAACACTTCTATTGTTGACACTTCAATTGTTACACATCTTCGAAATCAACCACTTTTAACTCCATATCTCCCATACCCTTATAGTACAGAATGCAAGAATTAGGTCCTCGTTTACAGACTAATTACAGAATTTTCGCGTCCAGTCAAACGAACTATTTTCAATTTGATCAATTTTCTGGAACGTTTACAATTGTTCTATAATTGAACCAATTCGAATTTAAAACGGTTCGAACATTTTTAAAATCGAAATAGAAAATTTTCCACTTTCAACCACTATCAAGCCATATCTCCCGCATCCTTATAGCTATCGAGACGCAACCACAATAGTGCACGAATGGAGACTTCGGGCTACTACCACATAGAAACACCATTAATGTGCGATGTGTAGTTTTGGCTGAAAAGTGAAATATAGGGACACACACGTCCATTTATATATATATATATAGATTATTGCTCGGCAAGATTGGGCTTTTCGTGTTTTTATCAGACTACTGGTATTAGGAATAATGAAGCCTGGTCGTACTCCCACCATGCAATGCGTGTCACTGCATGCGCGCATTACTTGATATTTAGCAAATTTAGACATTACGTTTGTTACAAAAACTGAAGGATTCATGTATTGTTCTGCACATTATAAATTCTCAGTCATTACTTTCAAGATGGCCGGATGGCCGGATGGCCAAGCGGTCAAGGCAGCAACCCACTGCTCTGGGGGACCCGAGTTCGAATCCAAACGGGTTGTAAAATCCCCTGGAATTTTTCGGGGTGGTCCGTTCGCATATGTAGGGCTCCATCCCTCACCACCCGGCAGCTCCATTGTGGGCCTGGTCGAACCCATAGTGGGCTTGCAAAAGAAGCCTTCTTAGTGCCGACAGCGGAAAGAGTTTAAAAAAAAGAGTTTTAAAATTATACATAATATAGAGGAAGACCTGTCAAACTGGAAAAAAATGTTTTCGGTACCGTACAGGTCATGTTTACACAGGTTCTAGTGTATATATACATACATATTATATCTAAGAATATATATAAATATAAAATTACAATATTTAAATGATTAACAATATTTTTAAAAGGAGATTTTAAAAAGTATTATATTCTAAATTATAATCAAATTCAAAGTACATGGTTCTTTCTAAACAAGAGAAAAATATCACTTGTTTAGAAGGAACTCTGTACTTCAAAATTGAAAGAAACTATAAACAAATATTTCATTATAAGTCATTTATTTCATCCTACGATTGGCTGTGTAAACTATATGTGTTTCGTACTTCTGTATATTGTATACTTCAAATAATTTATTAATTAAAATATTAAATAATACATTAACATTCCCTCAGTAACGTAACATTACCTTTTATCTCCTTTGCTAAATTGTCTCACTCGTACTCGTATAATTATAATTACATACATAGAATTTCGTATTACAATTAAATAAATAAAATAATAATGTACAAACCTTTCAATTTTGATGAGTTTTGTTAAGTGAAAAAACTGCCTTTCAATTTAACTAATATAACGTTAAGGCAGGATATAACGTGCCTAAATGAATCATACTTCTGTTACGTAAACTGTTACGTAGAACTACTTCTGATTATTTTTTCATAACGATATCTTTTTGACCCTTGCGCTTGTAGTGAACATTGTACAACATTACGAAATGAATGTGAACACTCCTTCAAACTTAGTTGAAATTTCTCCGATGAAAAGTGCTTTGTTAAGGAAATTAATCAACTAATTGTCACTTAAATCAACAAAATAATCTTTAAAACAATTAAATGTAACTAAACAATTTAATTTTATTATCTAGTAGTGATTAATTATCTTGCAAATTTTTAAAAATGAAACCGAAACTGAAAGTAGAAAAGACTTTTTCACAGAAAGTTCCCGGATTTTTTTTTATTTTCGACAATTTAAAACCCAAATTAAGGCATTAAAAAAGTACAATTGATAATTTAGTACCCTTTTCTCTTACCAAATGAACACGGAACAGAAAAAATTTAAATTTATTTTGTTACGTGTTAACCTTAAAAAATCCTTGGACAAAAGCGATCAGGAGATTAATTATTTCGGCAAGTAAGGAATAATTTTATTAAACAAGAATGAATAGATTGGATAACATATCGGCCTCTATCTTCAGGAAGAATTTTCAATGGATTTTTGACACTCAAGAAAACCAGATCACATACCTATCCTGTCACCCGCTATTTTCTAAGTGTTCAGTCGTTTTTATCTATCATACATTATCAGTAGTCACAAAAACAATGAGAAACGTCTAATTACGGCCTTTTACTGATCTTACAGCTTATTAATATAATAAATAATAATATTAATTAAACGCTTTTAAGCATGTGAGTATTTCTGTTATTTCTTGAATTACTGCAATAATAATACGTTATCATAATTCACTATTTAATCAGAAAATATTTGATATAAGAAATCGAAATTATTCTCTATGCGAACAGAATTTATCCATGGTTATGATCTATCTGATGTGAAGGATTTCAATAAAACTCTTTATATAATTTATTCGCTTATTATGGAATTACACAGAAATTAACAAAATTACTCGTACTAAAAACAGGCAAAGTGCGAAAATCCCTAAGATTCTTTTATTTTTGATATTTTCAACGTTGTACTTACATACTGCCAGGTTTCTTCTAGTCTAAGCTTTTGCGATCTCTGACTGTTAAAACTCAAGCAATGTTTTATATACTCCAGATTTCTCTTCCCCCTTTATTATTTTGTCTTTATCGTTTCGTAGTAAATTATAGATATTAGGGGCTCTTTTATGGATCATTCTCGACTTTTTATGAGAAGCTAACTCATTTAACACACTTCCTAATCGTTTATTGTATATGAATTTATTAATTTTATCGAAGTTACTATATGTGTTATCTTTATTTCCTTTGTAACCTCTGATCAGCCCTTCAATTGTGAGTTTTTTAATTCCAATTTGTTGCAATCCTTTTAATTTTATTAAATTTCTTGAGACTGTCCTGGATGTTGGTATAATATAAAAAGTCTCTTCTGGTAAGTGCCTTAAACGCCGGTAAGAAAGAATAAGACTTTGAAACTCTTCTAATTATGTCTTTGTTGTGGTTGGCTTTGAATGTTACAAATGAAACGTTTATATTCTATTCCAAACCTTGGGAACAACTTATACTATAATAAAAACAGATGTATGCAATAATTTGCATCTCTCGTATCTGAATTTATGACAATACTCGTGATTTATCCGAATAATTTCTTGAGTCGAGTCGACAACACTGGAAAACTTTCATTGTTTCTCATTAATTTATTTCATACTTTATGCCAATTTTCATTATGTCTGGATAGTATCGTGCGTGAGAATCGAGGGATACTTTCTTGTTTTAAGTACGTAAATATAATTATTTATCATTTCTCATTACTTATACAATATATCATTATTCTAATATTTATAAAGCTCGAAAACCTCTCGTTTCAACGCCACGTTTGATAATGTGACGTATAATGTGCGCCTCAGTTAATTAACATTTGTGTTTGTCAACATTTAAAAAAAATAAAAGAATACGTATATAATTCTATTTTATTAAAGTAGTTTTATATGAAAACGTAAAGTCAATTGTGTTTTGAAATCCGCAGATATTGGTGCAGCATCTTTCGTAAGTTGTGCGCTTCCTCTCAAATACAAAATCGAAATGACTGTACTGATTGTGTGTTTGTGTGTATTTCTCGCTTTAAATTGTGATATCTCGTCATAAAAATATTTTTTGAAAGTAATAATTTACAATTTAGAATATGATTCTGCCACCAGGTGTGTGTTGTGGGATACTCCACCGATTTAGACAAGATAAAACAAAACGGCAGATAGTTTAGGTGTCACACCGAAGGGTAGTGACACCTAAACTATCACACCGAAAGTCACACCAAAGTCCAGAAAATGGCCTCTCAAAAGGATGAATGGAAAGTCAAGTAAACTAATTTTTGAATAAAAGAGAAAATTTATTATTAAAGAACGAAACAAACATTTGAACTTAATTTAAATAATAGTAAGTACAGAATTCTGTTTTAGGGAGTTAGCTTATTTTTATTTGTAATACGGGTGGTACTTAGTGGATATATTCGAACTTTGCGACTCACAATATCCCAAAAGAAAAGTTGTCTTCTCTTATAAGAGCTAACTTATTTTCTGAAGCTGTTGGATGATGTGTTGATTATCGTCTTTTCTCTCTCTTCTTTCTGCTTTCTCTTCCTCTCTCCTTTTCTTTCACTTTATCTTCCTTTCGTCTTTACCTTTTTGTCTGCTTTCTTCTTCATTTAGTCTTTCAATAAGTCTGATTTTCGTTATTCGCTTTTATTTTATTCTTCGTAATAGACAAATCATGGTTTCGTTCCGAAGGTAGTTAAGGTAATCTTTAGTCTTTATTTTCTCTTGTCTATTAACAATTATATTAGTTCACGTGATATAAATAGAGTAGCATCTGTAATATAACACTATTGAAAAAGAGAAAAAACGATTGTCGTCTCATTCATCCCAAACAAAATTTGGGAAAATGATACACTTCACATTAATAATATAAAAAAAATTTGACGAATACTTTACATTAGTGTTTGTGTTGCTTACTTCATTTGAGATTTTGCCTTAATTCTTTCGCACATCGTGCGCAGTAACATAGCATTTTTCCTAACCTTACAGGCTTCGGTCAAGAAGGTAAGACACAGAACTTTCTTTCACGCATCCTGTAGTACTGACCAGTATTTGCTGGATGGTTTTTGCTGGATCATAGATTTTTTCTCTCACACAACTGCTGCAAGGGTTCATATTGAAGGATTGTAGGGGCCAATTATAGGTAGTTAGATACGCAGTGTTTTTATGCTATATCCTTACAACCAAAGATATTCAATTTTTACTATTAGAAAGGTCAGCAATCACGAATGGAAACAGTAAATGCTCAGCAGTCTAATCTGTGAGAATGTCGTCGTATTACAAACTATCAAAAGCACCAAACAAATGAAATAATTAGTAGTTCACGTTATCACAGCCCATATCGTCACAGAACACATTTAGCCAAAGCATTACCCTGCAGACACGAAGGGCCCGTGGCTTAGTAAGATTCACGCTACAATCTAAGGTAGCGTGATTAGCGTGATAGTTTTTCGATTTTTGGGTGAAAATCGAAAAACTAAATTCATCGAACCATGCTACTTGACGCCAATTCCGATATTTTCTGCACATGTAGATATTTACAACGTTCATGACATTTTTGTCGGCTATTAAACCGGACATGGACGTCCCTTCGTATCTGCGGGTTTTAAACTGCTTTAAACAAAACGTCAGAAGCATAACACTACATTTGTGTTTTTGTGTCAATACAAAACAGAACAACTTATGCTGCGAGGCCTAGTTTCCTTTCCTTAGAAAATACTAATTATCAACCAGGACAGCTGACATGAAATCCAGTCGTGAATTGCAAGAGTCGGTCCCAATCGCTATTTTACAGCGTGGTAATGTCACAAGTGAGATGCTGTCAATACACGCGAAGCCGTATAGATGAGAACACCGAAATTATAAACGATCTCTGACGCTCATGTCACGTTAAAAGTCATACTCATTTGTGACGCCATGCTGAATTGAAATACTCAGAATACACAGCATGGACTGTTGATTGACAGATTATCCTCTAATTGGCAACAAATGTATCAGTTACGAAAACGGCAAACGAATACCATTTGGACTGCTATTCCCATGAATGCTAACCATTGTGTTTAGGTATGTGTGTGTGTGTGTGTGTGTGTGTGTGTTTATACACCCACCTACACTCACGGATTTCACTGTATCTTATCTAAATATCACATTAATATTTTAGAAAAAATATTAAATGGTATTCAACATCATTGACTATACTGTGGTAAAAATACAACACTAGACGTTTTAATACAAAAAACTATAAGAGATTTTTATAAAAACTGCGTTTAAAATTACTCCTAATATACAGTTAAACCTATCTAAAATCAAAACCAGCCAAACCGGATGTCACTTTTTAGAAGAAACTATGTACCAATGTTGCCACGTCTACCGAATTTTCGGTAGATCTACCGATTTTGGGACCGATCTACCGATCTACCGATTGAAGCACCAAATCTACCGAAAAGTTTACGATAATTCAAAAAAGAAATCTTTATTTTCAATGTATCGAAAAATTCTCAATAAAACATTTTTTGTACTTTCATTTCTTATGTATTGTAAGAGACTTTATTGCAAAGATTCTGTCTCGTTTTGTTGAGAATATCTTGTGTCTGCCCCATTCTTCAGCTCAGTGTTTTTTAACCTTCTTGAATACGCGACCCCTTTACAAGTTAAAAAAATTCTGGCGACCCCCAGGGCCATATTAAAACTATATCAGTGATTTTAAAAACTACGTATTTAATTTTCTTTCTGGTAAAACCTAAATATCGATCGAAAAACCAATTGTACTTTAAAATAAAAACGCAAAGCCTTCTCACTGAAATTGTAGTTTTATTTATTGTAGTGTAGGACCTACAAACACTTGTCATTTTCTTTTACCCGCGATCCCCGTGTAAGTCTTTGCGACCCCCTGGAGGGTCGCGACCCACAAGTTGAAAAACACTGTTTCAGCTAATGTAGAAGAAATATTTTCGTAAATAAATCTGTTAAACACGAAACACGGAAATAAACTGAGCTCTGAAACAATGACTGGCTTACTTCTTACTAAACAATTAATCGGATAAAAATTACTGTTACGATTTTCCTATAAAAGATAATTTAATTTCAAAAATAAGAAACAGTGTTAAAAACATACAAACGGAAGATATTGAATAATAATAATTATTATTAATATCCGAAAAATAAAAGGTAATACTGTATTTTGTTAGAAAAATAAGACAAAATGTACCTACTTAATTAGTAAATTATTATTGTTTTACGTAAGTGTTCTATGTTAGTTTTTTGTTTTTTATTGTTTTATAGTTCATAATAAAATAAATGACAAAAAAGAATGTTATTATTTACGTGCAACCTCCTTTCTGCCACAAAAAGTCGATTTACCGAAAAATTACAGAAATCTACCGAAAACTGCCTAATGAATCTACCGATGGCAAGCAAGTCGGCGTGGCAACACTAATCTGTACTTTAAAATCGAAAGTAAGTAAAAACAATTATTTCATTGTTAATCACTCGTTTACTCTACGATTTACTGTATATAGAATATGCATGTTTCGTACGTCTACATGTATATTTTATACTTCAAATAATTAATTAATTAAATAATACATTAACCGTCCATACATTAACCGTAACATTAAGTTTTTTCTCCTTTGCTAATTGTGTCACTCGTATTCGTATAATTATAATTACGTAAATAGAATTTCGTATTACAATTAAATGAATAGAATGATAATGTACAAACCTTTCAATTACGATGATTATTCTTAAGTGGATAAACTTCCTTTCGATTTAACAAATGTAACATCCTTACAGGATATCACGTGCAGAAATTAACTATACATCTCTTACGTAGAATTCCTCCCTACCATATTTTTATAACGTTATCTTTTCGACCGTTGCGCGGGTAATGAACATTGCACAATATCGTGAAATAAATATTAACACTTCCTTCGAACTTTCTTTAAATTTCTCCGATAACGAGTACTTTGTTTAGGCAATTAATGAACTAATTGTAATATAAATCGAGTATCAATTTTTAAAGCAATTAAATGTAACTATACACCTTAATTTCATTATGTAGCAGTGATCAATAAATTTGTAATTTCTTAAAAATAAAACTGAAACTGAAAGTAGATAAGACATTTTTCAGAAAATTACGTTCGTTTTTTAGGTTTCGAGCAGATCGCGTTATAATGAATCAGCGTTAATCGAGGCAGCGTGTTTTCCGGTTCTTCCTCGTGTTTAACACGTGTTTTCTCGTGTTGGGACGTCAAAAATTAGATTACGCAAGTTCATTGTAACGTCATCAGACGTGTTAGTCGGAACACCGTCAATTTAAAAAAAAAATAACAAATAGATAAAAGCGTGAGGGTAAGAGTCATTTCGAAGTGCAGGAATAAGCCTCTCAGAAAGATGAATGCAGCATCAGGTACAAATAACAAGAGTTTATTTTCGGAAAACAGAGTTTTAAACAAAATTATCAGACCCGATTTAGGAAATTGGCCCATTCCTATAATAAAACAAAGGGGTGCTATAACGGGGGTATCCGAACGGACTCACAACATACCAAAAAAAGACTTTTTTTCCTTTTTTACTCTCTCTCTGTTCACTTCTTTTTTTCGTCTTCTTTCTACTTTATTTGGCCCTTCATTAGGTCCGATGTTTCTTCTCTGGTCAATCCCCTGTCAGTCCAGTCAATCAGTCAGTCTCTTGATCCTGTCTCATTCTCTCCTACTCTCACAACTCTGTCAATTCTTTTTCACTCTCTCACTCATTCAGTCACTTCTTCCAATTTTCTTTTGTGTTTGACCAATCATGCTTTAGTTACGAAAGAAGGTGAGGTAATTTGAAAAAAGGGCGTAATTGGCAATCTAGCGGTTCTCCACTTCCCTTGTCAATGAGAAATGGTGTGCGCCCATGTAATACCATCGGTCATACATATAACACCATTGAAAAAGATGGAACGTTGGGCATCCCTTCAATTTTCCTTCGCGTATTGTGAGATTTATAACAATTAATTCATAACTTTTTTATTCTAATTTTTTGTCTCAATTATTTTTAGTCGATTACTATAAATTTCGAAAGAGGAAAAAATTGGAAAAATAGGCGAAAATACTTACTTGATTATTGTTACTTGATAGATAAACAATCTCGGTGGCACGTTTACATATGCGCCTTCTCTTCCAGATGTAGTTCTAAACGGCGTCTTGTCTAATAGCTGACAATTTTTCGGGGGTGGCCCGTTCGGATATGTCGGGCCACGTCCCTCACCACCCGGCAGCCCCATTGTGGCCCTGGCCGAACCCATAATGAGCTTGCAAAAAGAAGGCCCTCTTAGTGCCCACAGTTAGCGGAAACAGTTTTAAAAAAGTATTTTAAACGCTTATCATTTGTAGAAGTTTCGACTTTCACGTAACGAAAGGATTAGATTCAATTGACGGTATAACATAGTCAGTGATCTTCCAAGAAGGATACATTCCATGAGGAGCCTTTATGAAAGAAGCCCGCAACGAGTTGCTTAACTTTCCCGGCAACATTTGGTGGCGTCATCTGTTTTATTTCAAGTATTTACGTGCTGTTGTTATCGGTTAAGTTATGTCAATGAAACACTTGGGCGATCTACTTAGAGGTGATGCCTTCCGGGAGGTCGTTTTGAAAGAAACTGGCCCCTATTTAGGCGTCAGACATGGAGAAAACCCGGAAAAATCCACGTGGCCAGCCTGTTTGAGTGGAGCGCGAACCCACGATCGAACTCCCAGTATTCAGGGTACAAGACTTCTTACCCAATGGTGGGGGGGTGCTTACCAGAACTCTACAAGTGATTTGATATAATACAGGGTGGGAAAGAAAATTACTTAACACCTCTGTTAAATAATATAAAATGTACCCAAAAATTGTATAGTAGATTGAGCACATTATATAATGTGTGTAACTCTGTAACCGTTCGAGTTCGATTAATAAAATTATTTATTTATCAATCTTTTGTGCAATTCTGACTCTATTCGAAGTGTGACATGATCTCCTTTTCATTTACAGTTGTACAGTCGCATCGAATATGGCCGCAATTTTGATGCCGGCTATGAGTGCCACACATCAGTGGCGGCCTTAGGGAGTGGCGAGCAGGGCAATGTCCCGGGGCCTCGCTCTTGGAGGGGCCTCGCACAACAACCAAGTAGAAAAAAGTCGATATTTAAAACTGTTTATTTTATCCTTGGCTANGCAACAACCAAGTAGAAAAAAGTTGATATTTAAAACTTTTTATTTTATCCTTGGCTATTAGTTATAACAATAAAATAAATTTAATTTATAATACAGTATATATTTATATTAATAAGTGCCTACTATTTCAATTCACATACTTTGCACAAAGGACAAGGGCCTCGCAAAAATCTGCCGCCCAGAGCCTCGCAATGGATAAAACCGCCGCTGCCACACATCAATGTTTTTTCCTGATGATCTAATATGTTCCTCACACGAGCGAATTCACTTTAGATACATTGTATAATTAGTAGAAAAGGTGTTAAGCGCCTTCCTTTCCCCTCCCCTGTATTTCTATTTTGACTGTATTAACTCGTAGTAGGCAAAAAATGTAAAAAAAAAAAAAAACTATTATAACTAAAATGCATTTTATTTGAAATAAGTGAGTAAAACAATTGTAACTGAACTGTCGTTAGGAATTACAGTAAAAAATTATTGTTTCAATCCATATTTAGAGAAACTAAGCTAGAGGTTAAATCTTTTTGATGTGGATCGATTACAATATGCGCTTCTAAAGAAATAAACTGATCTTCGGATATTAAATATTTGATATCACCACCAACTTGTCTTTCACTATGCAATACAACGGCTTTTTCATTTCTAAGAGAGAATTCTTCATTCATTTCTTCTGTTGCATCTTTCTCTGCTCTTCTGAAAGTGTCAATATTTCTGTCGCTTATAATGGTATATTTTGTATTGCAATTGTAAATGATGCCATGAAAATATAAACCGAGTTTATCCCAACTGTAACAATTTATTAAATTACTTAACAATTGCACAGGTTCTTGTATTATTATATATGTATTCGAACGACAAGAGGCTGTGCGATCAGACAATCTTCTGTCAAGTAGTAAACGTACTTCAAGACGTTGCGAATAATTCAAATTGTTATGAAATTTAATCAATTCTTTCTTAATATCATCGTAGCAAATAACAGTGTCGGGAATACTAAAATAAATTTGATTGACTCTATACATATTAGAGAACTTGAAAAATTCGTTTAAGCAATCGTAATAAAATACTAATCTGGCTTTTTCAACAAATATTTGTTTGTTTCTCACGTTTTTAACTTCATTGTAAAAACTCCACCAAGTTACGGGATGTAACAGGTTTGTTTGCAGAAAGTTTACGATGCTCCCTGCAAACGGATCATCTCCAAACAAGCCAAAAATGAAAACCAAAATACCACTTACTTCAGGGATTGCGACAGCATTTATGGAATGAAAAATGTATAAAGACATTAAAAATTCTTCGAACAATCTATGAATAAATTCAAAATATTGCTCATTATTTTCTTCTGAACGTTTTACGAATACGTCTAGACCAACGATTAATTGGTATTCGTCTTCATTATGAAAAGTAATTCTCAAATCTTCGTTTGTTATTCTTCGTGCTTCCAAGCTTGTAGCCGTATTTGATATCTGAAATTTTTTCTTGTAGTAAAGTTCTCCTAATTTAATAATAGAATCTTCTCCATCAAAAAACTTTCCACTATTCAGATTTTTAACGGTGCCTTTCTTTTTCTTGTATCGTTCTATCAGAAGACGAAATATTAAGACAAAGAAATCGGCTTTAGATTTTATATCGCGATGGTATCTACTTTCGGGAAGGCAGCATAACATATGCAACATTAATGGGCATTTTGTTAATTTCGAGTGGAAGTTATCATTACGTATCAGACTAACTAGATACTCTCTTTTATCTTTGTTTTTTCTAACGATGAAATCAATGTATTTTTCTTTCTGCTCGGGAGAGAATCCTTCGATGCAATATCCATATTCAAATTCTTTTCTTATTTCATCAGTAACGTATGGACGGCTAGTAACAACAATTGTCATTTTCTCAGAAAGTCCGAAAGAGTCGTTTGTTATGAATTCTTTAACACATTTGTTATGGCGAAATTCGTCAAATCCATCTAAAATAACCAAAAAATTCCATTTGGCTTCTCTTAGTTTGGTCTGAAAATTGTCGTCCTCATTCTTATCGATGCATTCTAGTACGGCATCAATAAGATTTTTTTCTCCTAATTCACGTAATTCAATTACAACTAAGGCATCGAAATATCTTAAGTAACTTCGACGATCTTCATCGCTCCCCCAATCGTATGCGATTTTTTTACAAATGGTCGTTTTCCCGTATCCCGGATCGCCTGTAATCAATACTGTTCGGTGTTTCTTAGGTCTATTGGCAAAAATCTCTTCTATTTGTGTAATTTCTCCGGTTTTTAGTCCCATCATATCTGTCTTTTGGAATATAACGTCCACAAAACATTCTTTTATGGGATAGTCATTATGTTCTTCGTTCCAGAGTAAGGATCTCATAAATGCATAAGTGGTCTTGTATCTGTTCATTAGCTTTTCTTGGCATATCTTTAACTTTTCTAAAATTAAATTAACACAAAAAAGTAATTTAGAGTTTACAGTAGAAACAAATGCAGAGATAAAAAAATGTCACTTATCATATATTTAATAAATTCTTGAGTAATGTAGATATTACTCGATAAGTTTGAACTTACAAGGGTTAAATTCCTGTTTCGTCTTTTATGGGTGAAGCATGGTACTAACTAAAGAACAAAATCATGTTACTTTGAAGGAAGGCTGCATCTATACTATATGTAATTGGTGAAAAGTTATTATATGACTTTTTTACGGTAGCTTCTCAGCAACTTTTCTGACTGGGGGCTCCTGAACGATATGACTTGATTTCTTTATTTACACAGAGCCGTACTTCAACTGTAACAGAATAAACACTATCCTAACTCAATATTTTTTTCTCTATGTCTTTATTTTATTGATTTCTTTTTTTAAATCTTTGTCTACATTGGACTAATGAAAGAGAAAAAGCTCATCTGTAAAGAAAATAAGTTTAATAGGATAAAATAAAGATGCTGGATAAGAGAGTAAAATCATTTTAACAATTATTCTAAGAAAACCTATAAATTTTGCACATGTTTTATTCTTTTTATACAGGCAACTTTCTTTGAAGGTTGTATATTAGTTTAACGACCCATTTATGGATGGTGTATGTTTATGTTGCGATAGTATTAATAATAGACAATAAAGAAACTGATAGCAATTTAATACGTTTAAAATATGAATGTTGGGTATAATTTTATTTCTAAAATAAGTTTTTTTCAAAAATTTGTTATAGAATATTACTGTGAGCTCTGCTAAAGATGGGCCTTTTGGTCCTAAACACAAAAACAATGTATAAAGGTGTAAATAAAGATATTTTGTTTTGATTTTTCGGAATAAGATTTGCTGTACTGTATTTAGTTCTCTTACCAAACGACTATGCAATGTATAAGCTGCTGTGGCACTGCAATCTTTGGCTATATCTTGGGCTACTCCAATATTTTTTATGTTCGTGTATGTGTTTTAGCTGGCAGCACTAGCACTTCTGTGTGGTGTTTTTCTGTGGACTATGTCATGCTCAGTCTAACGTTTTTGATACTAGATAACTTCTAAAGTATAAATTTTCTATTGTTTTTATATTTTTCAATATATTTATTACGTTTGTAAGAAATAAAAAAATAATTTTTAACGATACAATAGCCACGATTATTATTTTAAAAAGTTTACATTAGGCTTAACATCGACGAAAATTCAACGCGAAGCGACACGCAACGGAGAAAAATTTCAACACAGAATAGGTTAATGTATTTTTTCGCACACAATCGGTTAACCGAATAATAAGTAACCCGAACAACCCCAGTCTCCAATTGATTCGGATAAACGACGCTCTACTATAAAACTATTTAATCAAAACACTTATTTCTTTTTGATGCTAAAGATTTCTCTTATAGAGATATGCAAGAAAATTTTATTTTGTATAAGTACCAAGTATACATATTCTGCTATTCATCAACTCGTGTGAAATTTTTGTAAAGTCGTAACTATACAATACTTGTGTGAAAAATTAACAAATTCTACCTGCAAAAAAAATTGTGAATGTATTGATTGTTATTCATTCACAACAATCAGTCGTGAATGCCCAACATCTGTTGTAGCTTTATGGGGAAGCCCTCGTGAACTTCGACCTATCAACCCGAATGTTTGGCCAGCACTTCACTGATAACGAGAAAGGTCCATGTTTTTAAAAGTAGATTAAAAATTCCCGTTTAGTTTTAACTGTTTACAGTACCGCTTCGACCAGACAATGATTACAGTGCCTGACGACATAGCCTACATTGGTGAGCCAGAGCGTTTGAACCTTTCGAACATTTAATTCCTATCAAAATTCAGAAATTTCACCCGAGAAATTTGATCTGGTACTGTACGTGACGAAGATGAGCGAACCCATTGTCAACCACGTGGCGGTCGAACCTCCTACATTTTGGACCGAAAACCCGACGCTATTGTTCGCCCAGTTAGAGTCAATTGGGCCATCAATAATCAGATTAAGTAAGTTTACGGTGGGACCCTGTCACCAGGTATGTGTTATCGGACACACTTCAGATTTATAAGAGAAAAAACAAAAAGGCGGATAGTTAAGGCATGAAAATAACAGTTAATCCGATGATCCTTTCAGAAAAATGAATGTAAACTCATGTAAAGTAATTTACAAATTGAAGAGAAAATGTTTTATGGAAAAGCGAAACTTAGCATTAGAACTAACTTTGAATTAATAGTAAGTACAAAATCTGTTTTAAAAAGATAGCCTTTTTCTATTTGTAAAACAAGGGTTACCTAGCGAAGTATCCGAACTTCGCGACTCACCATATACCAAAAAATGAGTTTTCTTCTCTTCTAAGAGTTGACTGTTTTTCTGGATGCTGTGTTGTTTGATTTTCTTCTTTTCCCACTCTTCCTTCTGCCCACACGTTTCCGTTTCCATATTGTTCTATGGCTTCCTTCGCAGGATGTCCATTCTTTTCGAAGTTTGACTTCTTGCATTATCAAACGTAAACTTGTGTTTCTGGATCCACTCGTCATCCCCGCAAGTTGCTGTTAGCTGGTGCTAAAATATTATCTTCTGATTTGATGGAGCAAATCAATTTTCTTAGAAAACGTCAATTCTGATTCATTTTGATTCGAACACTGGAAAACCGAGAGGTAAGTGTTCCATCTGCCCACCAGACAGTAAAGGCCACAAAAACAAAAGTGGGTTAGAAAATGACGTACAGAAAAAATAATTTACGTTTTATCATTTTATATGGCAGCGTTAAACATCTTGTTGAAACATGTGGTCCGTATGAGAGATCGAGACAATTTGACACGATTGAGTGAGAAAAGGAAACACAATGCCTGACATCTTATATAAAAGGTTTCTTGTGTTTCTTAATCATAATTGACATCTGATAAAGCAAAACGGATAGAGGTCGCGTATGAAAAAGCCGAAATTATCCAAATTCTTGTTTGTATTGTACAGCTTTCAAAAAAAAATACTGTGCCACTGCAGGACTACTAAGTAGCATTTCGGAGTCAATAGGCGAAGTAAATTGCGTTATAGAATTTCATTCCATTTTCCAATGTTTTGTCTGAATATGCGACATGTCCTACTAACCGACCGGGCTTATAACCGTAATCAACTGTATTAATATTACACTACTCTGTCTGCTTCCTGCCTGTGTTCATGAGCTTTCTGCCTGTGTTCATGAGCTTTAGTATTTGTGTTACTGCTTAGATTTTGAGTCAGTTTTTCGTTTACGATAGCTAGATTCTTTATTTTCACGTGTTTTGCATTTGTTAGACTTAGTAATTAGGATTAGGTACCTGAACTTCTGTTTTGACTTTCCAGGTAGAAACAGTTAGTTTCTTTGACTTAATCGGTTTAGTTATAGTTATGTATTTCCGAAACCATGCTTTCCTTATTTGTATTTTTCTTCACTACTAGATGCATTAATAGACACAAGGCATTTGTATATACATATACAGTCGACCTTCCTATAACACGGGTTCCAATAGTTCGGATTCCTATATCATGGCGAAAAAATTACGACAGTATTCGTACAAAAAAGTAAAAGACACTCCTGTAATTCGTTAAAACGTCATCGCCGACTCGTGTCGCGACAGGATTGCACAAACCGTTGAGTTTAAACGAGCAGCGGATCTACTAAAAACCATTTATTATTTAACGTCCATAAAAATTATGTTTATATTAACGATGTCTCCAAAGTTCAGCGAATTTTTCGCGAATGAAATAATTTATCAGGAAGCACGCGAGCGCTATTCGACGGCATTTTCCGCGACAAAAACAAGCGTAAGCAACCACGTAGTCGAACGGTGCACACTCGGTTGGTAATCCTACAAGTTTTTGTTTATAGCATAGTTTCAATGGATTATTCCCTAAAAAATTATACTTTTTTTTAGAAATGTCGAGTGGAATTAGTCTAGAATCGGTTAATTTTATGGATGAAACCTTTCAAACAACCGTAGTTTGTTAACGGCATACGTGCCGGGCTGTGGTTGGCTGGACTCGTAAGAAATGGACTCATAAAAACAAGAACGTATCTACCGTGTTATATGGGGGTCGACTGTATATAACATATATATGTGTGTGTGTAAAAACGCAATTTAAAGAAATGTTCGCATATAATGCCGACAGATAACAGGCCTTTACCCGAAACCCATATCGGCAAATGGAAGATTAATAAATATGATATAAATGCCTTCTGTCCATTAATGCACATAGTAGGGGAAAAAATAAAAAAAAATAAACAAAATAAAATCAATCGATTTAATCGACTAGTTTTCAGCTTCTGTTCTATCATATTCTTAAACATATTTAAGGATAAATAAATTAATTCTATTGTCTTTCTAAGTGATATTCTAATATTGAAACAATAACAAAGTTACACTCCGACATCTGCTAACCAATTAGTAAATTGTGAAATACTGATGCAATTTTTTAGAATAAAGTCTAAATGGCGATGCAGTGGTGTATGAATATTACTAGCCTAAAAATACTTGATTAACTAATAAACACGAAATTTTACGTCACCGTACATATATGTCCTAGGATATATCACTGAAGTCTTAAAATTAAGTAATACAGTAGAACCTCGAAAACTCGGCCTAATGTGGACCGAAGGATGGCCGAGTTTGTGAAAATGCCGGGTTATCGGGAATGGGGTTAAAAAAAANCCAAGTCACGTGGCTAACAGATTAATCGAATTGTACTTTTTAATTGTAATTTTAGTTGTCTAAAATAAAAACATAAATAAAATTCGTAACATTTCTTCAAGAATGTCTTATCTACTCATTATTTGATCACTACTGTATTAAATAATGAAATTCAAGTATAAACTTAAATTAATCACTTGTTCGAACTCACCCGCCGTATAAGTTAAAGGTCGACAAAGCGGTAGATAATAATATTATTGCCGTCACCCAATAATATTAAGCGGTGACTCAATAATATTATAATAAAATAAAATAATAAAATAATAAAATAAGCGGTGACCCAATAATATTATTGGAAATCGATGAAAAAATTAAAACTAAAAAATCACAAATATAGGCTAACTATACATATTATTATGTTTTTTATTTTGTTTTAATGAATTTCAAAGTACTACATTCTGCAGATTAATTGTCTACTTATAATTAAAAAAAAACACACCTGATTTGTATTTGCCGAGTTATTTTCTTTATTCGAACGTTTTCGGC